ATTACATTGAGGGAGTGAAAAAGTTAAAGGTCGGAAGGCATTTTTTTTTCCTTGGCACTACAGCCCCAGTGGGCCTAGGCCTACCTCCATGAGCTTCTCCGTTCACTTCGGTTCTTCTAGATCTTACACATTCGGTAGGACTCCTTGGGCGGGTGATCAGCTCGCCGCAAGGCCTCTACCTGTACACAAACACAGAAAAACGCACACACAAACTAAACATTTATGCCCTGAGTGGGATTCGAACCCACGATCCCGGTTTCCAAGCGAGCGAAGACAGTACATGCCCAGAAAGGTGTATAGTAGAAGGAAATCAGAACAGCAGTACCGAGAGGAACTGAAACTACTATCGAAGCAGTTGCTATTAGCCAAAAGAGAAAAAAAAATGCACAGGAGATATTTTTAAGGTTTGTACTAAAAATGAAGGTAAGTGCTGGACTGAGTTCTACAAGTACGTAAATAGACGTAAAAGACAACAGGGAAAATGTTCCTGCGATCGAAGATGGTAATGGACGGCTCATTACTGATTCAGTGGAAAAGGCTAAATCCCTTAATTTCTATTATTCTTCGGTATTCAGCTGTGAGCGTAGCATCTCGCAAATACAAGGCGCTAACTCAGTTGAACCCTTCGCCATTAGTACTAAAATCATTAGTAAAAAGTTAGTAGCGAAAAATAAAAACAAATCATTAGGGCCAGACTGCGTTTCTGGCGAATTTTAAAACTGGGTGGGAAAGCCATGGTTCCATGCCTTGCGCGATTATTGGACATAACAATTAATATGTTATTATCCTAAGTGACTGGAAAAAGGCCATGGTGATTCCTATTTACAAAGTGGGTGACCGATCGCTCGTCTCAAATTACAGACCCGTCAGTTTAACCTCAGTGGTCTGCAAGCAAATGGAACACTTTATTGCTTCGTACCCGAGGAAAATCTTGGATAAAAGGGATTGGTTATTCGAGGGCAACGTGGATTCAGACCGGGATATTAATGTGAAAGTCAAGTAATCGCGGTTTGCCAGGACATTGCAGACTCACTGGATGACGGAAGTAGGATAGACGCTATTGTAATAGGTTTTACGAAGGCTTTCCATTTAGTTGCCCATGTTCGGCTGCTTAAGAAATTGCGGCCTCGGGAGTGAACTCAAGGGTAGTTGTATGGTTAAGGGCCGTACACAGAGAGTTAGAGTAGGAGGGCAATTACCGGAGGAAGTCACAGTAACGTCAGGAGTACCGGGAAGAATTGCACTAGGTCTACTACTGTTCCTCGCGTACGAACACAGAGTTAGAGTAGGAGGGCAATCATCGGAGGAAGTCAGAGTAACGTCAGGAGTACCGCAAGGAAGTGCACTGGGTCTACTGCTGTTCCTCGCGTACGAACACAGAGTTAGAGTAGGAGGGCAATCATCGGAGGAAGTCAGAGTAACGTCAGGAGTACCGGGAAGAAGTGCACTGGGTCTACTGCTGTTCCTCGCGTACGTACACAGAGAGAGTAGGAGGGCAATTACCGGAGGAAGTCAGAGTAACGTCAGGGATATCTCTTGTTTTGCTGTCCATGTGTCTCTCATTACTCAGCGACACTTTATCCGATGTATTGGTTGTGTACTTCGAACGATGAATTGGGAAGGATATAGAAGGAATCAGTCTTGATCTTTTCTTTAGGTACTACACAGATCTTTGCCTGCAGTAATTGAGGAAAACGACGAAAATTCTGTCATGATGTAATTGCCTCCACAGTCGTTATTCGCTCCCGGCAACTCCACAGTACGAAGTTGGTGTGCTCACCGTTACACGACGATAATCGAGTTTTCCTTGTGTAAGAGTCAGTATATCGCAGTTCTTCAGAAATGTAGTAAACATCAAGCTTTGGTCTTCTGTGCAAGGCGTATGAGGGATTTTCGAGGTGCCTGTTCCATCCTTCGATCGATTTCATCCATTTCTCTTAAAGGAACCCTCGGAGTTTAGTTCCCCACCCCTCCCACTATCGATCCTGCCTATCTTAATTTATTTACGATTCTGTGAATAGTTCTTATGTGTGGAACTGTAACATCCTGAAATTTAGGTCGGTATATTGTTATTAAGTCTCTTACACAACCACTTTCCGCAGAGGCACGGTACATGAACCTTCCATGTTCCAATGTGACATTTCCGCATAGAAAATAACATGATTGAGCGAATACTTAGAGCGGAGATCAAGTACAATAGCAGAAGCAACATGGGCTTCAGTATTTATGAGAAAACCATAACATAACTCAAAACTTCGCTTCACGTTAACTGTTCAACAAATTGATAGGAAATTTAATAAAATATTAATGAAATTGGTGCAAGGGATGAACATTTTCTTTACGATAATAATAGAGAACACTTACAGCATTTGCTGTGATATGGGTACGCTTTATTTATTTAGACTGTAGGTTTGTCGGTTCCGCAAGCAGTCGAATCCCCGCAGTCCGTCTTGACGGCGGCAGATTTCGATTCTTCCGCCTGAGCATGTTAATGATTTTCGAGATGCTGTAAAATGTTCCTTGTTTATAGAAATGGCATGATCCTCTTGTAAAACTCGCATCACTTGCAGCATGGATCCTAGCAACAAATAACTTAAAAGAAGCCTGCAGGTAGAGTTATTCCTTGTGCCTAAAAGTAACGCACTGAAGCCGTATATGAGGCTGGGGTTAGGACCTCTCGATTAGACGGAGAGGAGTGGTCCCCTTTATAGTCTTGCTCTTCTGTATCCAAAGAAACGGCTCCTGGTACTCATTGCGTAGGAGGATGGATTGAGTCTCAATTCGATTTGAGTGTTGAGGCGAAGAGAAACAACCCAGCCGGGAATCGAATCCTGAAAATTCGTTCATTGTACTAACTGAGTTATCCCGTCTCACGGGTTAATAAGTCTCACAGTTCGTGGAAACCCCCCACCAACCTTGAACCACCTACTCTGTAAGGGAGAGGTCATCAAGACGTGTACTGCCTATTCATTCGGTTATGCGGACGCCTGTCAGAATAATGTTCATTGTTTTATAATTCAGCCCATATCGCTGTAAACGACAGCCCTCCCCATTATGCGGGAACACGCAGTTCATTAGACCAAGGGACCCCAACGTTACCGAACTAAATACCGGTTGTAGTTCTCCCACGCGAAGAGTTCCCTAAATTGAGTTTAAATTGTTCGTATTCCTATTTTGTTGTGTATATTGTTTTTCTAGACATGGCCAGTAAAAATGTTCAGAACTTCCTTTGTGAAAAGGGAATGTCCACCACTTCGCTTATTTCAGTTCAGTTTAGTATGCGAGGGTTACTGACTGCGCTGTAAAATAAAGAAGTGTTCATGTGAATTTTATTTTGTTATATATCAGTCCATTGTAACCCAAATTTTACATGAAGCGCGACTTGAATTTCGAGTCGTTATAATCTGTTCTTATAAATTAATTTTTACTTCCTCTTGCTCCCACTTTGGAGAATAGGGCTGATTTCTCAGTTTTTTTTTTATCATTTTACAGACGGTAGGACTCCTTGGACGGGTGATCAGCTCGTCGCAAGGCCCCTACCTAAAAACAGGACAACACAAACACAAAATAAACGCATACACACACCAAAACATCCATGCCTTGTGTGGGATTGGAACCCACGATCCCTTCTTCCGAGCGAGTGAAGTCAGTACATGCCTTAGACCGCTGGGCTACCGTGACCGGCATAAAATCACTAGAGGGTGTAAAATGAAGATTACAATGTTACTTATCTTTATTGAGATAATTATGGTGTGTATGTAAAGAAGTCCCCCCAGAGGTGTCTCCACCTTGTCGTGGTGGTGGGGCTTGCGTGACTCTGTGACCTGGAGAGCTATGCCGGCGGTTGTTTAACTGCCGGTAGGGTCACCCATGCCAGAAAGGTGAAAGGGTATAGTCCAGTCTAAGAGAGACAACTAAACGTCTATGTATCCACAGTCCGTCAATAATGCAACAGTTGTTTATTCACCCTTTAACACTTAACACAACATGTTTCTGCCATAGATGACCATCTTCGGGTGTCTTAATGAATCCAAACTGTTACACTGCTCTGATGGACGCCAAAACCGCGCGTTGCAGTCCACTTAAAAATATAAAAATAACTAATTAAAATCCATTAAAATTTTCTGTTAAAGTGAACTGCAACGCTCGGTTTTAGCGCACGTCAGAGCAGTGTAACAGTTTGGATGCATTAAGACACCTGAAGATGGCCATCTATGGCCGAAACATGTTGTGTTAAGTGCTAAATGGTGAATAAACAATTGTTGCATTATTGACGGACTGTGAATACATAGGCATTTAATTAAATATTTTCAACAGGAAGCTGAAATACAGAATTACTAAGAGAGATACCCTGGTCTTCCAGGTTAGGGGCTGGGCATGAGGCTAACAGCCTCATCCTGTAAAAAGAATTTTGTTCAGAACCTAACAACCAGCCTCTGGTCATCATGCGTGGATCCATTCGTATGGCAGCAGCACGCATTGGTTATGGAGACTGGTTGTAGAGGAGGCCAAGACTTACCCAGGGCTGTTGCGCTGAGTGGTAGGTAGGTAGGTAAAGAAGTGCAAGGAAGAATACGTGCTTTCACTCTGTGCAGTGTTCAGTTCCTGTATTCATTATCTTTACTAATAATGTATTTGTATCTACTGCAAAGTAAGGCGAGAACTTAGGAATAGCAAAAAAAAAAATAGCCGTGAACACATTTAGAAAGTATGTATTCCACTGCCTACTTCCATTGAACCAGATTACGACCACATAACCATTACATCTATATTGAGGAAATGCCACTACGAATATTATGATTATATTTTAGTTGAATTCCCAAGTTTGTTTAATGTGTTGCCAGTCGAAAATAACCACTGACTTCATATCGATTAAGCAGGAGACAGCCAAAATGCGAAATGAAGGAGATGGCATAGGGATTCGATTTCGGCGCACTGCTAGCTTCACCCATGGTTATTGCTGCTGGTGAAATTAAGTATTATATGGATCTCCTTTCCAGATCTCGGAACTCCGACAGCGAAGTGCTGAGCTAGAGAGGCAGCTTGTAGCGGGAGCGGGAACAACGCCGAACACGGTAAACATCAAATATTAATACTAATATTCATCGACCCTCTGCATCAGGTGTGGGCAAACTATGGCCCGCGGACCGCACCAGCTTGTACTCCTACTCCCAAAGCTATTGTGAGAGATTTATGTATAATATATACCCGTGCTTATCCATTTATTTTAAAACAGAAAATTCTCCAGGCCAAATTATAAAATTAATGGTTCAATTCGAAACGAACTATGGGACATAAGGTTATAATGTAAAGGTGTGGAAGCAGTAAGTTTTTTATATCAGAGGAATAGCACCTTATTGCGAATGCACAGTCGGCATCCTTATAATAAACGTATTGCCACACCTTACTGCGCATGGCGGCATCTGTTTACCACTGTTGCGCTCCATATGCAGTTGAAGTTCTGTTGTCAGTTATCAAAAGTCCGGTCAACAATTGGCAGAGTTAGTATTGAGACAGGAACGTACTGTTAGAGCCCCGCCTTTGTGCAGCGTGAGAGCGCGGTTAGCAGGTGATAGTAGTCAGTGGAACTCTTGATTCAGCGTTGTAAGTGGTTCGTAATCGGTATCAATTGAATGCGACGAAGTAAATGTTCTGTTCTCAGTAAGTGTTAATAATTGCCCTTTCAGAACTAGGGAAAGGAATAAAGGAAAACGGACAGTGAGTGCAGAGTGTTTAACAGAGTATGGGAAGAAAATTCCCTCTCAAATGTAGGAACTGACACTCTGTGCCTTTGTAAGCATGTCTCTCGATCTTAAGCGTCGTTTCACTTTAGAAAATTAAACATGTTGCTGTGCTTTATGTTTGGATGTAAGAAATAGAAGAGCCAGGGCTACCATTGCTTCTGAAAAGAAAAGAAAAACAACATTAAAGTGTTTTAATTCCCAAAATATTGTGGATAGACCCTCTGCTAAGCGGCGACTGTGGACGGTTGCTTAGTAACGCCTGCAACATACAAGCACCCAACAACAGAAGAAGGGTGTTTTCTGTGGTCTGCGCCGCGGCCTTTGCTATGCAACGGCGCGATAAACACGCCTCTACAACAATTGAGGGGCTCTGTTTTCTGCATGGTCCGTGCCGAGGAATTACCTTGACAATTGGGGCGCAATCCCGTTCGAACCCGCCCTCTCATCAGAGAGGGCGCCCAACAATAACAACACTGTAACTGTCAAACAATCTGGCCATGAGTCCCAAATGGGGCTTGACACCAAGACTGACTGACTGACCGACCGACCGTCAGTCGCAATATGACTGACTTTGACACTGGTTCATAGGAGGCGACGAAAAGGGAAGTCTCAAATCTGAGAAAATAAAATATGGTCGAGAGTGCCAAGGGACTCGGACCCGAGAAAGACTGCGCTCGCAAGGGCCAGCAGCATATAGAAAAGACAGACCAGCCCTCCTCAGAGAAGGGGCGCCCCTCAAAAGCAAGACCGTAACTGTCAAACAGTTACAAATATCCAGATGGGGTTCGACACTAAGACCTACTGACTGACTGACCGACCGACCGTTAGTCACAGTGTGACTTTGACACCTGTTCGCGATTTGCACATGGCTTTCAAACTTCCTTACTTTTATGATTATGTAACAAAATTATGCAGGCAACAAACAGAAGTCATACAAAATCATGAAACTGCAGATGTTCTCAACATTGGACAAGGCGAAGCCCGACACAGGAAATATAAGAGGCTTAAACTTGGCGGCGGTCAAGTATACGACCGTTCAAGTCACTAGACTGCCGTTGTTGCTGGAGCTACTGAAGGTAGAGCATGATCTGCTGTACTGAGCCTGGTCTGACATAGGCCTTGTATATATTGCATGTACTTACTTTTAATAAAGCGGCCTCAAGGTACGCGGGTTCAAACCCGGCGGAGGTCGTGGAATTTTTAAGGGCCGAAAAANTTTTATGATTATGTAACAAAATTATGCAGGCAACAAACAGAAGTCATACAAAATCATGAAAATGCAGATGTTCTCAACATTGGACAAGGCGAAGCCCGACACAGGAAATATAAGAGGCTTAAACTTGGCGACGGTCAAGTATACGACCGTTCAAGTCACTAGACTGCCGTTGTTGCTGGAGCTCCTGAAGGTAGAGCATGATC